TATGGGCATGTAGAACTTCCCCTAAGGAAGCAACAAGAACTACTCCATTTCGACTTGCATATGGGCATGATGCAATGTTACCAGTGGAGATACATGTTTAATCAATAAGAATCCAAAGACAACATGAAATACCATCTGAGGATTACTGGAATATGATGGCGGATGAGCTTATCGACTTAGATGAAGAAAGGATGTTGGCCCTTGATTCATTAATAAGACAGAAAGAAAGATTTTCTAGAGCTTATAATAAAAAAGTAAAAGATAAAGTATTTGTTGTCGATGATTTAGTATGGAAAGTAATATTACCTATGGACAAAAATGATAGAGTCTTAGGGAAATGGTCCCCAAATTGGGAAGGGCCTTTTAAGGTGATGCAAGTTTTTTCAAATAATACCTATGAACTTGATGAGTTAGCCCCAGATCGACGAATCTTAAGGGTAAATGGTAAGTACTTAAAAAAGTATAAGCTCGTTCTTCAAGAAGTCTGAATTTTGACAGAATGAATATTTGTCGAATTAACAAGCTGGTAAAATTGTGTTCGAAACCAGCAAATTCAAAACATGCATAAAATGTGTACAATAGAGGAAGATATATATAAGACAGATAAAGAAAGGTGCCATTAAAATTTGTTTTAAAGCCATAAATAAATCACAAGATCGTTGATACAATGATTAAAAGTGTTTAAATCTGTTTTGGAATGACCGCGGTTCACCATGGAGGTTTGCGGCCTGATATTCAAAATCTTCTGCTTGAGTCCTAAGTGTTTCAAGCTCCGTTTCTACAGAAGAAATTGCTTCACTTACGGCCACATCATCCACGACTATTTGGTCAGCCTTTGCTTGAGCTGGATTAATAACGTTATTAATCTCTTCCTCTTGCTTGACAATCGATTCTAATTCCTTGTTGAGAGCAGAAATCTGGTCACGTATTTCAGCAGCTCTTTTCTGTTTGTCACACGTCTCCAAGCTGAAAAGAGTGATACGTTACCATGATTACATGACGTCACGAAAAAGGCGAAACAATAACGTTCACTTTTGGAGGGATGGAAACGGTTTGGTCAAATGGTAAAACCGACGCTTCAAAGATGCCATTATCTCATATGAGTCGAAATTCGAAAATGGCATCTCTGGGGGGAATTTTGTTACCTTGAAAAATCTTAAGATATTCAAGCACGTGTATTAAATGAGGATATTCTCATAAGCTAAGGGTCATCCTCTAAAGTAGAGGTTTTTGGGAAATTGGAGCCAAAGTGTTTGAAAATTTGGTTTTATTAAACTAAATTTAATGTTTAAAGGGAATGTCATGCCAAACTGTTGAAACTAAGTCAGGTCGACCAAAAGGAAATAAAAGAATATATGTTAATAAATGGTTGAAATTGGTTTAGTCGACTAAAGGGTGAAAGACAAGGAAAATGGTCGAATTGGTTTTTGTCAACCAAAAGGGTTTTTGGACTTAGAGGAATTGTTGTTGATTTATAAATCTTGCCAGAGGGAAAGTGTCGAAGCGAGTCAGAAGCGGTTTACTTTCAGAAGCTAGGAGCGAGAAGATTTAAATTTCAAAGTCATCAGCAATTTCCAGCGGTTTACAATTTGTTTAAGCGCTGAATAAGTGGCGACATCCAGTGAAGCGGTTGTCTCAAGATTTTAATATTGTCCATAGATTTCATCTAGGCAGTTACATTGTAAATATTATAAATAAGCAGATTTAGTGTAGTTTTTTGGTGTGTTCACTTGTATGCTCAAATCACTTGTCAAAACTCTGTCATTCCGAGCGTTAGGAAACAAAGAGTGAAGAAGTGCTCGACGTACGTGAATCACCACTTTTGTTTCAATGCAAATCCTTTATTTTTCAATTATCTCTTTTGAATACTTTATTTGCTCTCTATGTACTATCGAACAAAGTCTTTATGTTATTTTCTACTTCACGTAAACAATTCAATGCTCTCTATCGGTCACGAGTCACTAGTCAGTTAGTTTATTGAATCTTATTTTCATATGAATACCTTCTGTCGGTCATGAGTCACCAGTCAGTCGATCGATTCATAGTGTGGAAAGCCGTTATACTTGTTCTCTTAGTCACAGAAAACCATTTCCCTTGATAAGGATTTCGATAGAATAAGTATAATAATAAAACTCTTAGCACATGTCTTAAGGTCAACTGGTCGATCTAGCGAGTTACCCTTAGTTTTAGGACTTTGGGAGGACCAGCGGTTGTTTACCATTTTCCATAGTAAACACATGGAAACACGATCTCGTACGTGAATTTCTTGAAAACTCGATCAAGGACAATAACCGGAAGCTCTAAACACATGGAAACACGATCTCGTACGTGATTATGCGCATTTTACCATACTTCAGGTGGAAGTTGAAATTATGATCCTGTCTCAGCCCGCGAAGTACACGGTACAAATATTCCATGATGATCACGAATAACAGAGGCGAGATGGGGTCCCCTTGGCGAAGCCCCCGCTGAGCAGGCAGGATTGCAGAATGTTTACCATTTATACTGAATTTGTACGAAACTGTGGACACACACACAATAACCCTGTTAACAAACTTCTGTGGAAATCCTAGCTCACGCATAATCTGGAATAAAGCCCTCCAGTCTACCGTATCATACGCCTTCTGAATATCCATTTGGATCAAACACCGCGGGGAAATATTTTTTCTGTTATAACCTCTTACTAGTTCCTGTGCCAACAAAATATTATCATGTATTTTCCTGCCAGGGATGAATGCAGACTGACATTCATCTATGACTGAATCTAATACCCTGCCCAGTCTGCAAGCCAGAATCTTGGATATGATTTTGTAAATTACAGTGCAACAAGATATAGGCCTCAAATCCCTAACAGACTTAGCATCAGAGTTCTTTGGAATGAGGGTTACCACAGAGCAATTGAATGGTTTATACAAGACTGCCTTCACAAAAAACTCTTTGATAGCTTTACAGACATCACCACCAATAATATTCCCGGCAGATTTAAAGAATACAACACTATATCCATCACCACCTGGGGCTTTGTTATTACCCATAGCATTTAAAACAAATTTAATCTCATCCTCAGTAACAGGTTGGATCAGATCCAGACCCTCCTCTCTACTGATGGTCCTCCCATTCCTTAAAGCCAGAATATCAATACCATTAAGACTTCTATTTCTACAGCCAACCAGCTTCTGATAATAATTCACAACCTCCAGATCTATATCATCCTGCGTGGACAACAACCTACCATCGAGCCCCTGCAATGTACAGATGCATTTCTGGCTGTTCTTCTCCTTAATAGCAGCATGGAAATAAGCGTTGTTATTATCACCTAACCTCAACCAGTCAACTTTGGCTTTTTGCCCTAAGATTGATTCCTCCATTTGGGACAAGTATAAGACTTGATCTGCTTTCCTCTTGACATCATCAATGCACCCCTGATCTCCCAAAGACAGATTATGCTGCTCTTGTGCATCCTTCAGAACATGCCTAGCTGTGTCAATTTGGATTTGTATGTCAGTTTTCCTCCTAATCAGAGGTTTCAACTTGCTTTGCAACTTCATCAGATTAATCCAAAGACAATACATTGGAGAACCCTTCAAGTCTCTCTTCCAATTAGAGCAAATAATCTGCAGATACTCTGGATCCTGAATGATACAATTCAGGAACTTGAACATGTACCCTTTCCTACTCTTAAACTTCCAGATCTCCACTTTTATAGGGGAGTGATCCGATATGTGGGGTTGCAGGATCAGAATCTTCGCCTCCTGGTATTTTTGAAACCATGTCGTGTTGCCAAGGGCAT